TTTTTCAAATAATTCTAAACATCAAATGTTGACTGAACCACATTATTATCAGTGATTCAATTCTTTCGATAAATTCTATTTGATGAAATATATAATTTCTTGTTGTAAGTTCAATATAAATTCCATTAATGTGACTGAACCGCATTAGAATATAAATATACATAGAAAAATATTGCAACAAATAAACAATGAGAAGTGAATATACTAATACATATAAAGTATCGTTCAACATATACAATAATTTATTGGTATAATTAATATGTGCCAGGCAAATTGAAAGACCATTTTATGTTGAAAAGGAACAAAAAATGCCCCCCAAATAGGTAAATCATCAATAAATATTTGATACCCATAATGATTTTTAATTGCATATGTAAATGTATCATAATTTTCATGTGTTGATGTTATTTTACAGAAATCTGTTTTTTCTTTATCAAGTTTATAATAATTTCAACTCCACTATATTCTAATTCAACACCTAAAATATCACCTAATGTTTCATGATAATATGAGATTTCTTTTTTTGTTTTTTGATCCACGGCAAAATGGTAATGAAAAATAATTATATGTTTCTTAATGATTATGATATGGACCAACTGTATTCATCCATAAAACAACTTTTTGACCTTCTTCATATTTATGATCATATTCATCACAGTAAGCAATTAAGAATATAATCATACCATATTGGAAGCTAGACGTCTTTGTATGTTTTTAACATTTCGAGTACCGAGGATAGGTCTAACTTCCTTAATTGGAGATTCCTCAAAGTATTTATTCCAAAGTAGATGGAATTTAGCAGGAAACGTTTTCATGGTAGAACAGTATGTAAAATGTATAAACATAACTGCTTCATAATCAATCGTAGCTTTTTCTTTTATGGGTGAATTCATAACTTCTTGACGATATTTGTCATAATTAAAATTTGTCAATGGTTGATCAATATTACATTTTAAAAGAACATTATTAAACTGTTCTTCAATTAATTTATTCGGATATTTATTAAATAATAAAGCCATACGTAATTTTTCACGTTCATCCAAATATGTTTGAAATGTTGAACAATACCTAATCACTCGAAATAACATCGTAAAAGGTATATTCTTTTTCATATGTAATGGATGAATACTATTGAATGGCAAGTAATACGGTTCATAAGAAGGCTTTTGATAAACAGTAGTAAATAATACACCATCACGATTTTCCATATATAAATCGAGAAAAGTCGCAAATGAGCCAATATTTGGATTTAACTTAATATTTTCATCAAAATTCTTCCATTTGTCAATTTGTTTTAACAAATGTCTGACGGGCCAATTAACCATAATAAATAAATCATCAATATACCGAAAGTAGAGTCCACCGCTATTCTTAATTTGCTTGGCTATTCTTCGTTCGAAGAAAAACATATAACAATTTGCCATAGTTAAAGTTAACGGGGATCCCATAGCTCCACCTCTAATTTGATGATAAAATTGCCCATCATATAAAAAGTAATTATTTTGCATTACAAATCTACTTAATCTAATAATAGTTTCTATTTTTAAACCGCTAACTTTTTTCAATTTTAAATAATCCAACATATTCTTCAGCGATAGTACTCCTTCTACTTGTGGAATCATTGTATATAAATCAATAACATCAATGGTACAAAATATAGTATTTTCATTCATATTCAATCTTGACCATTCATTTAATTTCTTGATTAATTCAAAGCCAGATATAATGGTTGTATCTTGAGGCATTTTATCAAATAGTGGTCTTAATAAATCATCCAGAAATTTTGAGATTTTAATTGTAGGATGTTTTAGACCACTTATAATTGGACGTAGAGGAGTACCAGGTTTGTGGGCTTTTGGTAAATAATATAAATGAGCCAATTCAACTTCATTAAGTTTAATACTTAATAATTCATATTGCTTTTGAGTAATCCATTTAGCTAATCGTAAGTCTAACAAATATTTATTTGTCCGTTGAATTAATTCAAATAATGGATCATTTATACCAAGACATTGATATGCTTGAGTTTTCTCCATATATTCTTTTGATTTCTTACGATAATCTTCAACTTTACCTAAATGGAATACTTTTGATTTATCTGATTTTTGTAATATAACATTAGCCAATTTAAATTTATGTTTCAATCTCTTAACTATTCTTCCATAATTTTTCTTTTTCTTCATTTTTACTGTATTCATAATTTGAGATTGACTTGCTTGACTATTTATTAATTCAATAGTATTAGTACCAATTAGTTTATCTTTATTTATAATTTTGTCTATTGTTGGCACATTATGTAACGTTTGAAGAAGAACATCTAATTCATCAATAAATAATTGGAGCGGACGACCGGGGCTAACTTTCTTACGAAGAAAACATTTTTCTATTTTACGTTTTAAAGCAGCCAATTCAATTGTACGCCGTCGTGCAGCTGTTTTTGGGTCATTAAATATGAATTTTGGTCCCAATTTTAATAATTGATGTTCTTCTTCAGTTAATTGTATATTAGCTTCATTAATTATTGCTGGAGCAAGAAATCCTCGCCCAGCGAACGTATGAGAGTCGGAGCGATTATTTCCTCTTCTGGATTGTTGGTTTCGCTCTCGACTCGCTGTTCGAATAAAAAATAAAGCGATTGTTCGATTTCTAATTTCATTCTTTTCTCTCGTAATTCATGATATTGTTTAAAAGCTGCATAACCAAGTTCAGCATCAAATCCATCATCGTTTTCTTGAGGAAATCTTTCGATAATACCTTTAATTTCATTCGATAAGATTTCATTTTCTCGAGCAGCTGATTGAACATATAATGTCATTGCTTGAGTACGAAAATCTTTGGTAATTTGACGCATTTGATTATACATGGCTTGTGCTTCATCTTGACTTATAATAGATTCATCAATTTTAAATGAAAAATCCACTTTATCGATAATTTTTGGAGGCATATCTAATTCAACACGTTTTGATAGTATTTGATAATTTTTATTTTTAGTTGACCATAGCTTCATCTTAGGTTTTAGCAAAAAATGAGTATTCCATTGGGTTGGGGTGGCTATTTGTTCAAAATCTTCTAAAGCTTTAAATTCCGTCATTTGAGCTTTAGCTAATTGAATTCGAGTTTGAGCCATCTTTTTAACGTGTTGAGTACAAAAATGAATATATTCTAATATATAGTTTTCAATACGTTCAACTGATTCACGTACATGATTTTTAGTAGTTGCTGTAGTCGTTGGAGCAGCTCCTGCAGTTCCTGTAGTTCCAGTATCTAATTCATCATCTGTATTCGTACCTACATTTCCTGCAGTTGTTGTTTGACGTGCTCTGTCGACTGATAATTGTCTGGCTACTAAATTAGCTGTTGTTTGAGCTAATCT